ACAACAACAAAGGTATAATGAAGTCATGACTCTTTTCCGTGAGTTTGGGTTTTTTGTGAGGACTCAATGGCTGGAGCTACTGTAGTCATTTTGCACCCATAAGGAGAGGAAATCACTGTACTGAGGGTGACAGAGCAAGGGAAGGGAAAGAAAGAAGCCATATGGTGTCTTCTCAGCTGAGCTGGTGGAATTTCCTTGGCTCTATTCTCAGTTGGGTTTTATGCTATGTACTGCTGAAAAATCAACTGATGGAGAAGAGCAAGTCTGGAAAAGAAGGGAGGTTGTTTCCGGAAGGGGACAGAACCCGCAATGCTGCTGAGAGCACAGGGTTAATGTGGGAAGGGCAGCCAGTCCCAGCAGGTCTCTGAGGTGAGGTTTCACAGGGCTCAACCAGACAAAGCAGCAGCCCTGAGCCCTGTCCTCCACTGCCCTCGCTGGGCTCCCCTTCCTCAGATCTACCTGGAAGGGACATGCAAGTAGGAGCCACCCAGGCCTGACTGCATAATGTTTTGTGAATCTCACTGTGCAGGCCCTGAACTGGGTTGAAAGGGTAAACTGTGGTTCCCTGCACAGAGCTCCCAGACAGGGAACAACAAACCTGCTGTAAACACACACTCAGCCTTCAGAGGGAGGACTGCAGCTGGCTCCAGGACTAACATTTGCTTTCTATTTTAATGTTGTGAGTTTATTTTGATGATCAATTTCTATATATGGAAGAAACATAAATTTCCCTTTTAAGTCCATATGAGCAAGGGCAGAAAGAGTTAATTTCAGGAACACTAGTTACAGGTGACATGTGAATGTGCAGAAATGTGTTACAATAAGGATTAACAGGTGTGGGATCTCATGCATATGTGTGCATGCGTGTGTGTGTGTGTGTGTGTGTGTGTGTGTGTGTGTGCATATTTGCAAATGTGTGTATGAGTGTGCATGAATGTGTGTTGCATGGATGTTCATATATGTTGCATGTATATGTGTATGTGTGTGTATACTCATGTATTAGTGTACATACATGTGCATCTCAAGAGTATATGAATATGTTGACATATATATATATAGTCACATGTGTGTATACATGTATGTGCATGTGTGTGAGTGAGTGATGTTTATCTGCTCAATCCTTCCAAGCCTGTGACAGCAGGTTCTTTTGGAATGAATGTGTTTGATTTTTTACATGGCTCTCTTGGGAGGTGCCATGTCTATGGACATGGCTATCTGCTCTTCTGTTACTGGCTGGTCCTGAGTTTCTATCTAGAAAGGGCACCCCCACCCCTGGAGGCAGGGCTGGGACATACAGCCCTGCTGGGACATACAGTCTGCTCCCTACCCCACAGGGGATTTAAGGCTGTGGTGAGGAAGGCAGGATGGGCAGCTGACAAACAGGATACACAGTTAACAGGGAGCCTTGCTGTATGATGTCACCAGGAACGCAATTCATGATGAGGCATCTGTAAGCTGAGAGTCATCTCTTCATCAACTGAATTGGAAAGTAACTTTACCTTTGGCATGTTCCTTTTATTTATTTTCTATTTTCTAGGTTTTTTTTTTTTGGTTGTTTTTTGAGATAGGGTTTCTCTGTACAGTCCTGGATGTCCTGGAACTAGCTCTATAGACCAGGCTGGCCTCAAACTCACAGAGATCCACCTGCCTGTGCCTCCTGATTGCTGGGATTAAAGGTGTGCACTACCACCACCTTGAAGGGGAAATGTTAGCCACGCCCTCTTGGGAGCTGGCACAGGTGACACAGACCATGCACAATTGGGCGTGGTCAGAGTGATGTAGTAAGACTTAAATATGAGGGTCTCGAGCAGGTGGCTCTTTCTCTGTTCCCTGAGCTGCTTTGTGGTACAAGACTGACTCTGTCTCGTGAGTACTTTTTCTAATAAACATCTGCTCATCAAACTTGCTCTGACTCCATAATGATCCTCATTTATTGTGTCTCGCTTTATTTTGGTGTCAGAAGTGGGATTTTTATTCTGAACCCATGGGCGAGTCGTGGCTAACATTTCCCCTACACTACCTGCCTGGCATGTTCCTTTCAAGCACTGTATTTAACACAGTCATTAGCAATGGGCACACAGACATTAGATCTATAACTCCTGTTGGGATACAACCCACTTAACATGGGTCCTCTCTCCCTAAGGAAAAATCTTGAACTCTGGATCCTTATGTTTGGGACAGTTGTAAACATCAAAATCCCCAATCAAAGGCAAAAGTAAGCAAACTCTGGCCCCAGATGGGTCTCCAAAAGATGCTTTATTTCCAGTGTGAGAGGAGACGGAAGACCAAGGCATGTCTTGTTTGATACTGGCTGGAAACATTTGCATCAGGTGACCTGAACATTTATGTTACTTTGTGTGTTTGTCTATATTTGTCAGGGTCTCTGGAGGAACAGACCCAAAAGAATAAATATGTATTGCAAAGGGAATTTAGATATTCACTTTGTAGTCCACCAATAGCTGCTCAGTCCACAAGGCTGGGTACCTCAGCAGCCCTAACCTGGCTCTGAAGGCCTGGGGCTACCTCAAAAGCTGCTGGTCTTCGGTCCACATTGGAAAGTCCAAGAATCTGGGGCCTAATGTCAGTGGAGGATGGCAGCAGCTGCAACAGCACTAAGATGGATGCACTCATTAGCAAGACACAAAGGTGGGTAGGCAAAAAAGCATGGCTTTTCCCTCAGAGCTCCCTCTGCCTTGGCTACTCGCTCTGGGGAAAGGGCTTCTCTTGTCAATTAAACCTTCCTGGGAATGTCCTCACACACCTACCTAGAAGTTGTGCCTTTACTTGATTCCAGACCCAATCAAGTCACCCATCAATATTAACTGTGACAGTGTCTATGACTACCTGTCAAAAGGCTGTGGATATTGATTTGGACACTGTGAATACATCGCAGTAAGTAGACAAATACTCAGTCACAGATTCAATCGATCAACCAACCTATTATCTACTTACCAACCATCTTTGTCATCTACCTATTATCTATTTATCTACATATCTGTCTTCTACCTACCTACCTATCTATCCATCCATCTGTCCCTCAGCTCAGTTGGATATCATCCATTGGTCGCCAGCTCTAGCTGTCTGCCTGCTCTGGTTTGGGTTTTAGCTTCTGTTTGAAACCTCCTATAGGGGCTATTCTAAGACCTATCCCAAGCTCACACCCTTTTTGTTCCCTCCTATGCTGACCAACAGCACCATGATCCCAGTCATTCCGACCTGGTGTATAAAGTACAGAGCAGGTCCTCAGAGAGCTCAAGTTCCTTCCTTAAACAATTACAGGGTTGGCTAGTGGGAAGCAAATGGTACCTGTGGCAGAGAGAAGCAGGAATGAGAAGGAAGGCTAAATGATTAAAGCTAGGGAGATTCCACGTCTCCAGCTTTCTCTTCCACCCTCAGCAGCAGCCATCACTTCTTGCCAGATTCCAGTACAGATGGAAGTCACTGGATTACAGACCGATGGCAAGCTATTTTTGGTGGAGTTGTGTGTGTGTAATGTACGCACTGAGGTTCTTGGCCAGAGCCTCTGTTTGTATCTGCTGTCAGCAAATCAGAGGCGCCATCCACATTTGTCATAATTCATTACACTAATTAGCCACGTTTGAGAACTGGGCATGGGCCAACAGGAGCAGGAGGCCACCGCATTGTTGTGTCTCAGCCTCTTGGGTCAGAGTTTCCACGGTCTGATGGGCTGCCATCTCCTGCACATGTGTCCCCTCACATGAAGACCCTGATGAAATCACCATGCTTACATCTGGGACTATTCTTTGCAGATGATGCCTGTGGCAGGAGGCCAGAGGCAAAGAGCATTCCAGAACTTGGCTCTAGAGGCCCCACACAGTACCCAAAGGAGCTTGGAAATACCCTGACGTCTGATGCCAGGCTGAGCATCCTTCTGTGGTCTGTCCATCCCTGACTGGTCTCCTTGGCCCAGGCTTTGAGGAGGCTAAATGGCACTGGCTGCATCAGACCCACTGAGACCAAGTTAGAATAAGCTATCTTTTCTGGTCCCCCATTTCAGTGGGCACTTCAGTTGTCTGGCTTGGGACCTAGGTGGCTCTCCACTTTTGCCTCCTCCAAGTCCCATATCCTGTTGAGTGCCTTTCTTAGTGTCTCTCAGTCCTCCATCCCTGTGTAGGATTCTGTCATTTTTCACTGGGAGAACAGCAGTATCCTTATCTTAGTCTCCTTTCTCTGTCTCTGCCACCTCCCCCTTCCCCCAGCAGCCAGAGGCTTTTCTTAAATGCAAACAGAAGCAGCAGGCCACTCTCAGGGACATTACAACTGACTGTTGGCCCTCCCTGATCTGGCCCTGCCAACCACTGACTCTAGTTTCCAAGCTTTGTTTGCCAGCCTCCTCATCACTTCTTCCCATGCATTTCTTTGTCTTAAGTTAGTGTGATGGCCAATCTTGATTTTTCACCTTGATTGGATTAATAAATACCTAGGAGATCAGGAAAGCACAATTCTGGGCGTGTCTTCAGAGCTGTTGCTAGAGACGATGGTTTGGCACTCACAGACTCAACACCTGAACAGTAGTAAGGAGGGGGTGGGACTTCCTGTTTGGTTGAAGGAAGCGTGCCATTGGGGCTGTGTCCTTGGAGACTGTATCAGAGCCTGCTTAGCTTTTATATTCCCTTTACTTGCTTCCTGTCTGCCATGATGTGGGCTCCTCCATGCTGCTTTCTGTCCATTGTGGATGAAGATTCTTTCCGGTCATCTTCTCCCAATGCCATGATGTCTGTCATAGCCAAGGAGTCAAGAAATCATCGATGGTGCACTCTGAAACTGTTAGACAGAAAAAAAAAAATCCTTCCTTTGAAGTTGTTTATGTCAGACATTCCATCGGTGACAGGAAGCTGACAGAAAGGATCGGTGTCAGGAGGTGTGTGTGTGTGTGTGTGTGTGTGTGTGTGTGTGTGTGTGTGTGGTCATTGCTTGCATTCTTTTATTTTTTGAAATTTTAATTTGTGTGTATATGGTTGAACTAGAGTTTGTTGATTTGGCTAGGCTGGCGAACTCCAGGGACTTGTCTCTGCCTCCCCAGTGCTGGAATTACAGACGCACCACTGGATGTAACACTGAGCAGCCTCTATATATACTCCTGCTGCTATGATGTTCTGTTTGGCCTCAGCACAGGTTCAGAGTCAACAAAGCCCAGGACAGTGCACTGGAATGTCTTAGACTGTGGGCTGAAACACAGCTTTAAAATAGACTTATCAGGTATTTCATTATAACAACAATAGCAACATAACTTTTGCTGCATGTAACCAAAATCCAGATTCCTGAATTATCAAAGCTAATATTTGTTCTACATGTCAGGTCAAGGGCAATTTTCTTTATTTGTTTTGACAAAACAAAGCCCTCTGTACTTCCCACATGCTCAGTGAATGGGTTTAGTGTTTAGTCACCTAGTCTTTGCTACTTAGACAGTAGGTGTTTAGGGACATTTAAAGCTACCAGATCAAAATCTACCTGAAGTTAATGCCCAAAGTGTCCCAATGTCTTGAGTCACAGCATTCGCCCTACTACTAAGATGTTTTGAATTAAGTTTTCTGGGGTTTTCAAGTTAAGGGAGCCATTGCATTACAAGCAGTGTTTGGACAAAGGCAACACCTGCCTTCTGCTGGCTGTGAGATGTGGGGTGGACTTGATCTTCGAATCATCTAAAACTCTCAGCCACTTCTTCCCTCCCTTGGTGATAAGAACACCCTCAGCAACTCATTTATAGTTTACAAAGAACTGGTATCTCCTGTCTCGTTTAAACCCACCAACAACCCTGAGATGTGTGTAGATTGTTTCCATTTTCTACAAGAGAGAACAGAGGCTCAGGGAGACCTGCCTGCCAGAGACCACACAGCAAGTGAGTTTGAATCCTATTCTCTAATTTCCTCCCTCCCCTTTGCCTCCTCCCTCTTCTTCCCTCCCCTCCTTTCCTCTTCTTTCCCCTTTCTTTTCCTTCTTGTGTCTGGAGATTTGAACTCAGGTTTTTGTGTATGCTAGGCAAGCACTCTACTACTGAGTCATCTACTCAGCCTTAGGATTTATACTCATTCAGTTATTTAAGAACAGGTAAACTGCCAGGCAGTGTTGGTGCATGCCATTAATCCCAGCATTGGGGGGGGGCAGAGGCAGGTGATCTTTATGAGTTTGAGGCCAGCCTATAGACTAAATGACCTGAAATGACAAAAACTCAACAACTACTTCCCATCTATATGTCTCATTGCTCAAGATTCAAATTCTAGGCTTGAGTGTAGAGGAACAGGTAAGGAAAGACACAATGGAAGGTGTATAATGCAGACTAGACAACACCCCAGCAGGAAGCTGGGACATTATTAGGAAGTGGGATGGTGACAAATGTCTGCTGAGGACTCTGGCTATATAGCTGCATGATAGTAAGCTCTAAAGCTGCTGGGAATTCTAAACTGGCTTTTATCAAGTAGATGTTTGATTTTTGTCCTCTGGCTTATTTAGCCCCATCTTCTGTGTCTGTAAACATTTTAGGGAAAAGATAAAGATGGCAAGAAGAGCCAATCTTCATCACTTTTGGGAACCTACATGCCTGTTGTGGGCTCTCTGCACCGCTAGTGGCAGGTATGACTGGTGGATTCTGGCATTCTTTCCCACTAAGCCCTCATAAAATCTCTGTGCTCTAAGTGGCCTCCAGGCAGTCCCAACCAATGGCTCAGAATTTGCACATGGCCTGACACCTATTGGCCAGTCCTGTTTGGGAGACACAAAGTCTTAGAATCTCAGTTGTCCCCTTTGTTAAATAATGGCCCAATGGATGCACCAGCTGTCTGTGGGTTCTGAGCATCTGGGGCAGGAAGGTCTTTGAGAGACTGGGTGAACGGTCACCTCCATGGAGTCTCCCCTTCTCTTTCTTGGGGTTTCAAGACTGGGTCATGAGTGGTGATCAGACTTGCTGGGGAGTAGCGGGTGTTTTTTCCTCCCTGTCTGTCCAGGCAACTCCTTTAGGGGAAGCGGACTCAAGGATCCACAATGTATGGAGTGCCTAGTGCACGTGTCTGTCCCATCTCTCAGCTACAAGTGATGAGCCTTTTTACTGATGAAGACACTGACCTCGAGGTGGCATACTTACTGAGACACCAAGAAAGAGTAGGGTCTCTGTCACTTCTTGTGATTTGCCAACTGTAGCCCCATTCAAGCCACCCTTTTCATATTTCCCAATGGGGATGTAGATTGGGTCAAATTTTCTAGAAGCATTTCAGTTCCTACAAGGTTAGTTACTTTCTCTACTGCTTCTCAGTTTGACACACACTTACTGGCTACCTATGAAGACTGGCTCTTCAGTTCCCAGTCTCTCTTTCAGGTCAGTGGTGGCAGGGTAGATGTCCCTGACCAGTGGAATATAGGCAAGGGAGGTGTGCACTTTCTGGGCCAGGCCAAAAGTGGCTGTGTAGTACTCTGTGACATCTCACTCTTGCTTGCTGGTTGACATCCGGTAGAAAACTGCTGTAGAAGATTCTAGGGTGGCCTAGATCTCAGAGTGAGTATGCAGATCATAAGCTCCTACTGGAGCACTGGACCATGTGATGTCAAGCCTTTGAGATTCAGGGGCTAGTTGCTAAAGCAGCTTGCAGTAAATAGCCAGATGAACACAATCCACCACATAGCATCACCAAATATTGATTATTTATCTTTTCATCCTACTGTGTTTTCGAGGGGCAGGCTGCTTAGCTCAGCCTGTGGCAGTGCTAGGGTGGGTGCCTTGCTCTCTGTCTCTTGTTGACTGGGTTACTTTGGACAGTTACTTAACCTCTCTGAGATTAGAGACATGACCTGTAAGGCAGTGCAAATAGAAGCCACTAGGTAAGATGGAGCTCGAATTCAGATCTTTTTTTATTTATTTGTATTTTTTTGGTTTTTTGAATTCAGATCTTAAAGCTGCTTTGGTGACTCTCCCTTGGACTTGACCTGTGGCTTTGAGGACTGGCACCTCCTGGAGAGGACTTCAGAACATTTCCAGTGCTGGGGAATAAATAAGGGTCTACCATTGGCCCAGCAAGGCCTGCATCACTGAGCTACAACTTCAGCCTCAAGATGAATGCTCAGGCCTGTGACTTTGCTAGAAATGCTGGGGGTTCCTGAGGAGTGCGACATGGGCAGCATTGGAAGGGTTCCCCAGGCCTGAAGGGAGAGTCCTACCTGTGATCTTACTCCCAAAGGAAGCTTAGAGGGGAAGATTGGCAGTGAATGCTGGGAAACTCCTGGGAGGCGTGGCCTGGTACTAGGCTGTGACCACACTAAAGAAGGGGTAGTTGTGGGTGATAAAATTAGCCCCTCCTCAAAACACCCATGATTTTGCCTTCCTTTCTCACTACTCCTGCTTGTCACTTTCAGTTACCTTACCCAAACCTATCTATCCCCTCTCTTATGTGGCTTCAGCAATGACCACAAACCTCCTCAGGGTCAATCCTGCATTGACTGGAGGATGCCTGAGAGCAGGGTCCTGGACCGTGTGAGGGAATGAATGACAGAGTTCATGAATGTGCACCAGAATGCAATGAATCTGTCCTTTTAGGAGTCATGGTGGGCTAGGGCTTTGTATGATTCCTGGGGTGGTGGCACCAGCAGCAGTGGCAGCTGAGGGAGGGATGCAGGAGATAAAATT